ACCTAATCTATTATTCTGGCTTATGTACTCCTCCCAAATTATTTTTTTTCCTTGGTTGAATAAAGTAACATTTCAAAGTGCATGTTTCAATTATTTCTCTGTGCAGTACTACTTTTTTGTATTATTTTATTTATATAGTTCTCAAAAGCAATCATGTAAAAAACAATTCTTACCTGTTGTAAAGTCCATATGGACCCAAATGCAAGCAAGCACGTTTTCTAAGCAATCTATAGGGCGACAAAAGAAGGATAAAAAGGACAAACATGTTAGCATTTGCAAGTACATGGATTCTGTCCCAACATACTCACATACTCACAATACAAATCTCATTTTGTCATGCCCTGTGCTATGCACTTGCAGTCCCAACTAGATTACAAAAGGTTTTTTTAAACAATAGATTTATTTCAAAAGAGCAAAGATAACATGGTTTTATTAATATGAGTGTCTAAAGGAGTCAAAATACTAGGAACAGAAGGTGCAAAGATGACTGTAAAGAACTCATGGAAGGTAGCTATGCTCACCACCATACAACCATCACCAAAAGAGGATGTGACTAGAAGTGATGGACAAAGGCTCACTGGCTAGATATAGATGCTTACATAAAATAATATTCTATGAAATGAACTCCAAGGAAAGGAAACAAGAGATATTTTTTTCAGTTACTATTGTTGCTGTTTTTGTTTTCATTTTCTTTTGTCTTGTTTGTTAGTTTGCACTTGGGAGGGTACGGGAAGGCACATTAAATAAAGGTGGAAAAAGAGTGAACAAATGCAGCAACCATACTCACTGCACACCACATGGAAAATGAACTGGATATGTTGTAGGTGGGGATGGGAGGGAAAAGTAGGGAGAGAACGACGGAAGGAGAGACATGGTTTAAAAAGAATTGTACTCATTACCCATTACCTGAATCATGTAACTGTAACGCCTCTATATATCAACTCTACAATAGCAATAAGAAGAGAAGAACTCATGGAAGAAGAGGGAGGGATTAGGATGTGATGAGTTTAGAGTTTCATTTTTTGCAGGATGAAAAACCTACAGAGGCCCATTGTAAAGCAATGCAATTCATACGACTAAATTCTGTATTTAAAAATATACGATGACAAATTAAATAGTATGTGTTTTGTGACAATAATTTGGAGGCTACTGCTCTAAGAATGGGAACTTTTTGTTTGTATTTTCTCTTCTGTGATTCTACTTTTCCCTCCAGTCTACTGACCCCTTCTTTTTTCTAGGTTCCATGTCCTGTATCTACTCTATAGTGGCTATACCTCCAAAGTTGTGGTTTATCGTGACTATTCATAGCCTTGAGATTCTATCTTCTGTGCTATCTCAGCTTTGTTTATCCTGTTGTTAATTTCTCTGTCCCTTTCCATTTTATTCAATGTAATTTTAGAGAGCTAATAGGGTTATACTAGCATACTGAATGCATGTGAGATTTATGATCAAATACTGCCTACGAGAGAAACTTAAAGTAAATCCTTTGTCTTTTTGCTTAATGTAGAATTAAGAACAGTCAAGTAAGGAGAGCAACCTAAGAACTCTATCTAGGCAAGGAGTCATTGAAAAGGCATTCCAGCAGAGGTGATACAAAGTGAATTTTCTCCCTACCCAATGAAAGTTCAGTTGCTTCTCTAAACTTCATTTCCTCTTGAATGTTAATACTGTTCTTCACCCAGAAGAGATGGAACAGTTGTTACTTGGTTTATTCTTGTAAGTATTTAGCATACTTACTCTTTCAGGAAACCATTTCTACTTGATACCCTAGAAGAATAATGAAAACATCAAGAGGCCTTATATAATATGTACTTTGCTTACTAACAGACCTTCAAAACTGAGTTAATGCAGCAGTGCACTGGGACTATTTAAATGCATTTTTAACTTTGGTGATGACCTGTCATTCCAAATACTGAATATCAGATGTTTTTCTCCTTAGCTTTCTGTCCCCCTGGGGTCTCTCTAAATGAGATTGAAATTTCAGTGTGCCTTTAGATGCAATTTCCCATAGTTTCTTGCAGACCCCCAAGCTCCAAACATTATTAAGATTTTTCTTCCCCTATACACTATAAACCTCTTGGCAGCCTAATAGTGAATCATCATAATTTCGTTAGGCCAAGTCTGCAGGTGATAGAAACAATAAAAATGAGACCAAGGAGAAGCTCCCTGTACATTTTAGCAAATGATCGTTGACCAGTTTGACAGCTTCATAAAGTTCTAGGAAATGTGTTTCTTCTCTTCTCCTGACACCCTTTAACCACTGCCTATATTCTCAGGTAATGAATGAGTATAGTAAATGCATTATCTATCACCTCTACTCATTTTCTATGGTTCTCTATGCTAACTACAATATGTAATGAAACTAAAGCAAACTGGAAGATGGAGGGAGGAAGATCCTGACATCAAAACTCTAACACAATCTTTATACATATATGTATATGTATCTCTCTCTCTATCATCTATTTTGGTTGGTCATGGTGCTTGAACTCAGGGCCTGGATGCTGTCCCTTAGCTCTTTTTTTTTTTTTTTTGCCAGTCTTGAGCTTTGAACTCAGAGCCTAGGCACTGTCCCTAGGCTTCTTTTTGCTCAAGGCTAGCACTCTACCACTTAAGACACAGACCTACTTCCTGCTTTTTCTGTTTATGTGGTACTGAGGAATCCAACCCAGTGCTTCATGCATGCTAGGCAACACTCAACCACTGAGCCACATTCCCAGCCCTGCTGTCCCTGTGTTCTTTTGCTCAAGGCTAGTGCACTACCAATTTGAGCCAGTTTTTGATTTCTGTTTTTGCTTTTTGAGTGGTTAATTGGAGATACCAATCTCATGGGGACTTTTTTGCCCCAGGCTGGCTGGAAAAGTGATCCTCAGATCTCAGTCTCCTGACTAGGATTAAAGGCGTAAACCATCAGCACCCAGCTCATGATTATATTTGTATATTAGTTTTCTTTAGGGCTTATCAACTTGAATACTTATTTTGGCAGTCACAATAGGATGCTTGCTTGTTTATTTTGACTTAACAATATATCACATATCTGTCTTAAGTTACTGTGTAATATTCATATGAATATTATATATATATATATATATATATATATATATATATATATATATATATTAGGAAGACATTACTGGGGCTTGAACCGTGAACTTTTGAGCCAAGATCCCCAGATCTCAGCCATCTGAGTAGTTAGGATGACAGGCGTTAGCCAGTAGCACCGACCTCTTAAATATATTTTACAATGCTTTTCTTTTCCTTCGGTATCATCCCAGGAAACTCCAAAACAACCAAAAAAAAAAAAGGTGTGTGTGGGGGAAATTCCTTGAAGACCTGTCTGTTCAATGTCCCCTCTATTAATTGGATTGTGTGTGTGTGTGTGTGTGTGTGTGTGTGTGTGTGTGTGTGTGTGTTTGATTTTGCTGAGCTCTTTATATATTCTGGAAATGAATCCTTTGTTTGGTGACTAGGTTGCAAAAAACTTGCCTTCCTTTTGTAGGTGTATCTTCCTTGTGGTAATGATTTCTTTGGTGTGGAGCTTTCTAATATGACCAAACTCCTTTGGTTTGTCATGGGGCCTACATGTTTTGTAGTCTATTTCCAATTTCATTTTGAAATTTTGGGGGGAAGATTCCAGTTTCGACAATATTTGTGTTAAAATTATAACTATGAATTGAGACATGGGTGCTAACAGCTTGGTTTGAACACTATGCTATGAACGCTATGTAGGATTGCTTATAAACTCCAGCTTCAGAGAAGTGGTGGAAGAATGAAAAAGTGTTGGAGCTGATGAACAGAAAGAAGACAAACAACTGAACAGAAAAGTTTCAGGTATTTTGCAAGTTCCTTCCTTAACCACTTCCTGACCCTTGTCTCTCATGAGCCACTTCTATGAGGTTCTAATTTATTTTCTACTAGTTGCATCTGAGAAGGATTTTATGTGTTATCATAACATCTATTTTTTGCTTAATTTATTGTCTTAAATGCAAATAACACATTAGTGCATTTGAATGTTTAGCTAAATTAATTTCATTCTAATATCTAAAAAACATGACTTTCCTCAGATACTCATCTATTGGAACAAGGGTGCATGATAATTTTATGTTCATAAATATGATCTAGACAAAAGATGTATGTCTGTTTTTATCAAATTACTTTGATCAATTAAAAAGTTCTGAAATTAAGGAATCTTCAAATTTAATACAATAATTCATATTTTAAGACTAAATTAAAATATTGTGTGCATCTTATTGAAAAAAGTATTAGACTGCAAGTTCTTTGGAATACGAGTCCACTTCCAAATACTAGCATTTTAATAAAAACTCCCAATTAAAATTGCCCGGGCTGGCTTTGAACCGCGATCCTCAGATCTCAGCCTCCTGAGTAGCTAGGATTACAGGCATGAGCCACCAGCGCCCGGCCCTGTGAGACTCTTATCTCCAATTAACCACCAGAAAACCAGAAGTGGCCCTGTGATACAGTGCTAACCTTGAGCAAAAGAGCTCATGGACCATTCCCAGGCCCTGAGTTCAAGCCCTATGACTGACAAAGACAGAAAAAGGAAAAAGAAAAGAAGAGAAATGTTTACACATCAAATCTGTTACTTATTTTTACATGAAGTCTTACAATCTATTACTTGTCGATTGATTCTTTGGGTATGTATTCCAGTATAAGCATCTTTTTCTTTACTGAATCAATACTCTTTCTTTTTACTTTCTCCCATCTCTCATACTCATACTCACCTTCCCTTCTTTTCTCCTTCCCTCCTTCCCTCTATTCTTTTCTTTTTCTTCTTTTTATTTTACTGCTCCTCCTTTCCTCTTCCTCATCCCTTTTCTCCCACCACACTCTCTCTGGTTCTCTTTCTGTGTTTCTCTCTCTGTTTCTGTTTCTCTGTTTCTCTCTCTGTCTCTGTCTGTCTCTGTCTCTCTCTCTCTCTGTCTCTCTGTCTCTCTGTCTTTTTCTCTCCTCATACATTCTGGATGGTCTTCCTTTTGTGTCAGTCCTGGGGCTTGAATTCAGGGCTCTGGGCCTTGCTCTTGAATTTTTGTTCTCAAGGCTAGTACTCTACTATTTGAGCCACAGCTCCACTTCAGACATTTTGTGGTTAAATACAAATAAGAGGCTCACAAACTTCTCTGCCCAGGCTGGCTTTGTACTGAGATCCTCAAATCTCAGCCTCCTGAATAGCTAGGATAACAGGCATGAGCCACTCTCACCTTTCTTGAATGCTGTTTATAAATGCAAAGTCTACTCTTCCATAAGCTTTCATTGATCACTTTCAACTCATAAATTATGTTTTCTTATAAAATAGGTAATAAGATTCCAAGTTGCCTTTAAGCAGCTTCTCTAAAGAAATGTTCTCTATATTATTTCTTACAGATGAATATAGGTCTATAACAACCCCCACATAGAAAGTTGAAATGGAAACATGAGCCAACTATATATTTATGTACATCTGGATCCATAGATTCTGCTATCTGTTACTCATATACTTATTTTCATCGATTCATTTGTATTACTACTTTTGATACCAGTTTAATATCTCTTCCTAATTTGCATATAAACATTAAAATTGAATTTAAAGGAGTGGGACTCTAATAAGCTCTAATTCATGCACCATTCAATTCACCCATTTAACGAATACAATTCAGTGTCTGTTTTTGTCTGTTTGCAGATATGTCTGACCAGCTCCGTAGTCAATTTAGGACATTTTATTACCTTAAAATATATTTAGAACGTTTACTTATCACCATCCCTTTACTCTTCTATACCACCTACAATTCTTTCTGTCTCAATACACTTGCTTATGCTGAACATTTCAGACAATACAATATTTGCTCTTCTTTCACAAGACATAGTGTTTTCAAGGTTCATTCATGTTGGACCAAATATCAGTGCTTCATTTCTGTGTATATTGTGAAATGAAATAAATTCCATGTCAATAAAATGTCACATTGTCCTTCATCAGTAAATAGGTATTTAGTTTTGGACACTTTTTGCTTCTAGGAATAAGGCTGTTGTAAAATATTTGTGTGGACTATGTCGTTACATACCTGAACTCATAATTGCAGGGATCTGTCATACTCTGTGTGTGTGTGTGTGTGTGTGTGTGTGTGTGTGTGTGTGTGTGTGTGTGTGTGTGTGTGTTAGAGACTACCATTTTCTATCACAATCTGTGGCATGCAATTGTCTCAGTTCTTCACATTCTCAAACAGATGAGGATCTGTCTTTATTATTACAGGGAATTTAGTGGGTGTAAAATATATCTCATTGTGGGTTTTCATGAGCATTTCTTTGATGTCTAATACATTGAAGCTTTCTTATGCACTTACTGGCCATTTGGAAAGATGTTTATTTACATCTTTCTCCATTGTAAAACTTACTTAGTTCATAAGAAAAAAATCTAACTCTGCAGTCATAATATTCAATGTGAATATATGAAAAATAGAATCAGATACTTTGAGGGAATAGGCAAATTTGGGAAAGCTGGAAGAGAACTGGGGAAGGGGTCATATTGATCGACTATATATTATACTCGTAAACTGACATGTTGAATTGAAAGACCTTTGTACAGGTACTGAATAAAATTTAGGAAATCATTTATAAATTTTAGAAACAAATCCCCATTGTGTGAGTTGGCATTACACTTTATTGATAATGTTTTAAAATCAGAAACTTTGTTTTTGGTGCTGGTCCTGGGGTTTGAACCCAAGACCAAGATGTTGTCCCCTAGCTTTATTTTTGTCAAAGCTGGTGCTCTACCATTTGAGCTACAGCTCTACTTCCAGCTTTTGGGGGGGAGACAAGCGTCACATGAACTTTTCCTACCCATGCTGACTTGAAACTGGAATCCTCAGATCTCAGCCTCCTCAGCAGACGTGAGCCATCTGCACCTGGGTGCTTTGTTTTCCATGTATCTTTTATTTCCATTCTAATATCTATTTTTCTGGTTTTCCTTCTTGTTTTGGATTACACCTTTTGTGCAATTCCGGATAATGAGGCTCACTTGCCCTTGGCTGTGTTTGTCTTGTAGTTTTCTTGTCACATTATGTAGTGGCATGATGGAATTATTTTAATGCATCTCTTGTCCATGATGTCATACCAGAGAGGCTGCCCACTTCGTGAGGGTCACCGGCTCTCAGAGGTGACGGTGGCTTCTCCAGGACTCTTCCTCAGTCTCTAACCTTGATAACTCTGTCAAGCTATTCACCATTGCTTCAGTCATGTGCAGCTTTTACTTTCTACCAGTTACCTGCTGATTCCTTTAGTTCTTGTGACAATGTTATGGGACCAAAAATATTGTTCATACTCATTTCCAATTGAACTGGGATCACCTTCCGAGTTGTTTACTTGACCTCTTTGTTTTCACGTACATCTCTATCTGCTCTGCATGTGAACTAACCTCAAGATAAAGAGGTCTGCTCTTTGTTATTGGTTTACTTTTTTCTGGAACAGTAGGAAACTTATTACTGCCAAGATGACCATTGTGTTTGGGAGTCCCTTGGGGTTTGTACTAACCTATATTCTGTTTCAGATAATGCCATTTTGTTATAATGGAATTTGATCACAAGAGACAGAGGAGCTACATTTTGAGAGGTGGAATTGGGAGTCTTTATTAGAAAGTTTGATGACTGCAACCAGACCCTTTCCTCAAAAACTTGCAGCCTCAAATACACTTAATACCGTTAGGAAACTCAGCCACCAGGGCAGTAAAGAAAGAGCAGATAAAGAATCTCAACAAACCAGATCACCTCTAATGGAGAGCTGAAGAGAGAAGCCATGGTGACCTGGAGAGGCAGGAAGCATGTTGCAATGGCAGCCAAGTTGGCTGGGTTCTAAATAGGGTCATGGTCAGGGGACAGGGTCACAGGGAGCTGGAGAATTCAGAGTCTCGGAAGTTCATAGTACTATGGTACTAGTCTGACAGGTCCACTAACTTATTGTACAAGTCCCTGCCCCTAACTCTAGGAATTCAGGCAACCCCTGGGGGTGAGGGTGGAATTTCATCTCTAAGAGTTTTCAGAAACTCTTCATCATCCACCAAGATGCCAGAATGGTACCAGTTAGACCCATTATCCATACTTCAGTGTATAATGGGAAGTGTTTCAGATGTCTCTTAATAAATTTATTCTGTCCTGCTTGTGTTTTTTTGACCATAATGCCTAGAAAGTATGAAAGGTCAAAGACATACGTTAGCTGATGATCCATTCCTTAAAAGCTGTTTTCATGAACTCCAATTCTGCTCATATCTCCATGGTTTGAAGTGGGTGGCATGGCTATTCCTTCACTCAATTTCCATCCTATGACATGGAGATTTTTCTTTCTTTTGAGGTCATTTATTCTTTACTTTCTTCAGAAAACAAGCATTATTATCTTATATTTATAGTAGAGGTTGAACATGAGAAACTACGATTTCTGATATATAACTCAGTCATTTTACTGTCATTCATTTGTGTTTTCTTTCGACCCATGTTTCTACTGGGGCCAAGCTTAATGTCAAACACTTGAATTATCTTACTTTCTTTCATAATCCATAATATTACAGTTGGAAGCTATCTCAAATATCAATTAATTTGACTTATTTTTTCTTGTTGTGTAAGTGACTTTCCTGAAGTGGCTGTTGCCATTAAAAACTAGTTTTTTTTTTTATTCTCCATCTGTCCTGTCTTCCATGCTCTGTCTCCTGTATTTCAACTAGCTTTTCCTTACCTTTCCAATTTCTTCATCAACTGCATAAGGCAGGGCCATAACATAAATATTTATGTACTTCTTTATCTATTATGTACTTCTTTATCTAGGTGTTTATAATTCATTTTGTTGGTAAAAGGTCAAAAGGTTCCCGGGATAAATATCTTTTACTGTGTGTAAAAACCATCATATAGACACTTACCATTTGAAAAATAGTTTTGACTTTTATAAGACTCAGTGTGACAAATAGAATGCAATGATTATATTATCGAATTTGATTTCAATATAATCTCAAACATTTGTATCTCAATCATAGTTTAGCTATCAATAGATCTTTTTATATGAATGTACACATGCAAAGAATGATATAAAATTTCGAAAAAAACCCACATTTTTGTATGGAGATAAAATTGTAATAATTTTTCAACTCAGATTTAAAAACCAATTCCTACTGGGGAGATTAAAAAAAAGACTCAATAAATATTTCAGAGGCTTTCTAAGAGTAATTTCTCTCACAGGCTTCATATGTACCATGTGTAAACAATTTATATTTCCCATGAGGAATAAGAAATAATGCCAAATTGATATCTAGCTATTATAAAAATCAAATAAACAGTATTTCCAGTGATTAGAAAGGTAATTACAAGAACTCTTTACATAAATGTAGCAAGGTCCTTTTGTCTAAGGTCAGTAACTCCTTGTATTGTTTGCTTTAGAAGCAGATAGGATAAGTGCTCTCCTAGGAAAAATGTTAATTAACTCTTTGATTTATCAAAACTAAATATTCATTGCTTCTCTTATGCATATAGGTGGAAAATAGCTTCAAGCAAATTGCATGGAAATTGAAAAACCCTACCCTTTAAAATTTTAAATCCATCCAGATTTCTATTGTCTGTAAGAGACTATAATTAAACATCATCATTTCAATTTATGAAGCTTGAAAAAACATTAATAATATAGTGCAGATGTTAGACATCTGGAGTGAAGTCATCCTGGTGTGGTAGGAAAATGCAGAGAGTTATTAACTATTTGCCTAAAAGCAGTTCTTTATTTTGTTCCTTAAAGGGGAAACAAGAGGGTCATTGTCTAAACAGTTTCTTCCCCTCTTACAACTTTGAAAATAAAGTCAAAGCCCTCTTCTTTCATTTCAAAACAATGTGTTCCAGCTTTGTGAGTTCTTCTGTTGCTGGAATCCTTTTGTCCACTAAAGCTTCATCTCCTGTGATGTTCTTTACGTTACTTCAACAGATTTTAACACTTTTACTCTATCTGCAATGCTCTTCCCCATGACTGACTTTATATGACTCAGAACTAGGGTACAATATCATCCTCTC